GATGAGAAGATGTCAGGAGTTGGAAGAAATGCTTACCTCGGCCACGCTGACTGATTCGATGACAAATTTCCAGCGTAGAAATAATATATCGCAGAATCTTCTTTGAGCTCTAGCTGCATGCTGTGGGGTGGCCTACATCCCCTTGTCTTGATGTGTGTAAGCTCAGCAACCATTTTCGTGTAGCATGAACCAGACCCATTCTCGATATCCACACTCTGTAGATTACATAAGAACAACGTATGTGTGAGCGGTACAGCTTCTCGGTCAGCCGTGGTTCACAAAACGGCCATGAGTGAAGGTCGCTGATACCGAGGATCGACATAGTGACTTGCTGAAAATAGGAGACAGAGCAGCAAAAGGCTTGCAGTGTGACGAGACAGGTGATAATAAATGTTACGAACGAGAGTCGGACGGTTAGGCAGTCGATGGTAGCCGGGCTGCCTAGGTAGCCAATCAGGCAGTGACGTACGCGGTGAATGGTTGACGGGCCGTGGCTGCAGCGAGCTGGTCCATGTGAAGTCTAGCGCCAGCCTTGCTAAATGCAGTTCAACATTTTTCTATGTACACGACAACACCAGCCACCTCACAACAACTTCCAATCCAAACACTTTTACGCGCATCAACCTTCGTTCGTGTCGCCAACTCTCGTTTGTGTCGCGCGCAATGGCTAGAGCTTCCCGTTCTGCGAGCGCAAAGCCCGCTGAGAAGAAAGACGCCAAAGATGTCAAGGTGAACGGCACCCGTACGTCACGTCCACCCACAGTAGCCATGCTATCGCTGACAAACGTCGCAGTCCCACGAAGAGGCGCGAAGAAAGCCGAAGACGCGCCTGTCGCCAACGGCATAGCTGAGGAAGCTGAGGAAGCTGAGGACGTCGAGATGGCCGACGAAGACACCGAAGAAGCCGAGGCAGCTCCACCAAAGCGTAAGCTCAACGCGTCCGAAACGAGGTCAACCGCTAAGAAGACAGCAGCTGCTGGACGCAGTCGCGCAAAGAAGACAGAGACTCCTGCACCTGAACCCGCGGCCGCGCCTAAGAAGACGACCAAGCGCAAGAAGGACGATGAAAGCGAACCGGAGGTCGAAGACGCGCCTGCGCCCGCCGTGAAGAAGCCCAAGGTAGCGAAAGCTGCCCCCAAGGCTGCCCCGAAAGCAGCAGCGAAAGCCGCCCCGAAAGCCGCGTCAAAGACCGCAACGCCAGAGCCCGAAGCCGCGAAGGTCGATCCGGCTCTGATCCCGAACCCCAAGGGCCCGCGCCGCAACAAGGGCAAGAAGACTGAGATCAACGAGATCCGCTACACGGAACCTCTGAAGGTTTTTGTCTTTGGTGAAGGCTCTTCTGGCGAGCTCGGCTTCGGCGCCACAAGCAAGGCCATCGACGTGAAGCGGCCGCGCTACAACGAGCCTCTGTCAAACTTGAACGTTGTCAAGATTGCTACTGGCGGCATGCACGTTGTCGCACTCACAAAAGACAACAAAATCCTGACATGGGGTGTCAACGACAACAATGCCCTTGGACGCGACACGTCGAACGCACCCGTCAAGATGCGTGATCTAGACGCGGACGATTCCGACTCCGACTCTGAGGATGAGACCGGCGGCTTGAACGACGCTGAGGCCACACCAACACCCGTACCATCCGAGTTCTTCCCTGAAGACACCACCTTCGTCGACGTCGCTGCCGGCGATAGCTGCTCTTTTGCACTCACTACTGAGGGCGCGGTCTATGGATGGGGCACATTCCGAAAGAACGAAGGTATCATGGGTTTCGAACGCGACAATCATACAGCGCCTCGACCCGTCTACATCGACAGCATAAAGAAGGTCATTCAGCTCGTGTGTGGTACCAACCACGTCTACGCCCTGGACAAGGACCACCACGTATATGCTTGGGGTAACGGCCAGCAAAACCAGCTTGGACGCCGTGTCACTGAGCGTAATCTCATCCAAGGTTTACAGCCCAACAAGATTGGTTTCCACGACGCTTCCATCAAGAAGCACAGCCAACGCATAACACACATCGCATCCGGAGACTACCACGGTCTTGCCATCGCAGAAGATGGGCACGTCTGGGGCTGGGGTGCGAACAACTACTGCGAGACTGGTTACACCAAGAATGCTGGTGCAGATGATGCTAGCGTTCTCCAACCCAAGATCATACACAGTTTGGAAGGCAAGGGCGTCCAATCATTGGCAGGAGGCTCGCATCACAACTTAGCCATCACCAAGGATGGACAGGTGCTAGTCTGGGGTCGCTGCGACGGCTCACAGACTGGTCTTCCTCCGTCCCAGCTTGATGCAGAGACGGATGAGCACAAGGTTCTCAAGAACAACGGCAAGGCCAAGATCGTCGTGCAGCCGACACCGCTTCCCGACCTCAAGAACATTGTCGCTGGTGCATGCGGTCCTGATCACTCCATCGTCGTTGACAAGGACGGCAAGGCTTACTCATGGGGTTTCTCGGTTAACTTCCAAACGGGTCAGGGTACCGACGACGACATTGAGGTCCCTACCTTGATTGACAACACCGCTGTACGTGAGACGAAGCTTACATGGGCTGGTTGCGGTGGTCAATACAGTATCCTGGCAAGCAAGAAGGAGTAGGCTGTCCAGCCTTCATCTCAGCTTGACGCTGGGAATATCGATGGTGGCAACTCTTCATCAGGATGCTCTCCATTTTTTCACATTTAGTTGTTGTGTTTCACTTTTGGGACATTCAGACCAGCATTCACGGCGTTCTAGTCTTTCACGGGTCGTTTTGGGATAGCGAATATCTGATTCTGCACACGGGGTTATCCAACGTATTCATTGCGCGGCTGAGGGTTAGGCCTTGGAAAACGACATGGCTATAGTAGAAGGCGTAGATTGGGAGGGAGGCTCAGCCGTGCTTGTGAATAACTTGTAATAGTACGATGCCATGCTATCTTTAAAGACAACTACTTGTACAAATATGCGGTGATGTCTCGTATCTCAGAAACCTTGCGCAGACATATTGTGCCATGAGACGAAAGACGTAGGGATGGATCATGATGGACTGGTGAAAGACAGACCCTTACATAAGCAACCGATGACGCTCGACCCTTCTTAGCCAAAAAACATCATCACCAATGTCGAAAGCGCATCAGTAGCAACCCCGCGACAGCCCACTTATACGATCGCAAACTCCTCCGTACGCCCCCCGCAGACAAATACCAAAATATTCGAGACTGACGGATTGCGCAGCGTCTCACCCGCCTCCGCAACGATGCCACCCAAGCAGATGACAGGCAAGGGCCGTACCCTCAACGAGCCCAGCTTTGCGTCCAGCACCATCTCAGCTTTTACGAGCAAGGACAACAGGAGTATTGTTACTGCCGCGGGAATGTTCGCTGTAAGCCACCCTGGGTTGTCGAAAATATCAGACGAAGGATAGAGCACGATACAGAAGGAAAACAGAGACAAGGGCAAATGCTAATGACCGCGTGTAGATTGGCGTAACCTTTTTGCACAGCAGCTGGGCCGAGATCCTACTTCCCGCGTAAACTCGAATCGATCTCATACAAGGAGACAATGCGCCAGCGCCAGGCGAACGAGTTAGGCGGAAATGCGAGTAGCCATCGCAGGACAACGAACGATTCTCGACGCCATGTACAAAGAAGCAAACTCTGGTTTGAGGAAGAGCATTGAAAACGAAGGCGTTCAGGCACGAAAGCACACCTACCGGTAGTGTGAAACTATATCCCCAAAGTCTTCTCTAAAAACGGTCTTATAACGATCTTGTAACATTATGTATAACAATGACGAGAACACGCTCACACACGCTGTCATTTCTTTTGTCATTGCAGTGCTTTCAATTAGACTTTTGGCAGTTCGTCTCACCACCTCATATCTTTCGCCATCAGTCATCGCAGTACGTCACTGCTCTCTCCATACAAAGATCCAAAACACCATGCGCGTCACCCGCATCAACGCGTATGAAGGTTCTGTAACCCACACAACTGGAACATACCAAGCACTGTCTTGCTGTCACAGAAATGCTTATCAAAATAGACTTTTCGGATTCAACCGCGTCGTTTTCGTCTTTTCTTCCTTCTTCCTTTTCACGTCTTCCGAGACGCAGTCTCAGCTTGGCTCGAGTTTCACGTCGCCTTGTTGAGCTATCTCTCAGCTTCATTTACGAGCACTAACGTTATTGGCGAGAATACGCGCGTCGGCTGCTGAGTTTGACATAACGGTGTGTGACGTCCTTTCTTTTGCACGATGGCGAGATCGGAGACGCGGATTTGCCAATTGCCGTCCGGATTTCCCGCGGGTTTGTCACGAGCTGTTTCGGGCGCGTAATCGGACGTATCGGAAGCACACGCGTGGCGTACGCACATACGCCGTGATGAACAAGTTGGTGGACGGTATCGTTTGGCTATCGTGAAGTGTGCCTTGGCGCTCATGAGCTGTCTGTTGTCATTGCACGCGCCAGTCGGTTCGCCGAGACAGGCTGTGGGTTTATTGGCAAGTTGCAACAACAATGGTGATTCGTACTCGGTAGATTACTTTCATACGGCACGGTGGCGTCAAGGACTAGTTGGTCTGCGGCGCAGCGAAAGTAACTTGAATGGTAGTCCAAGACCTGGTTGTTGGTACTTCCACGCGCTGGTGGCGCATGCAGAAGGCCTTATCGCGTGGTAGCTGTCTACTGCAGGTACTCCGCGTACCAATGCACGTATTTGCACGATATCACATTGCGGCGGAAACACTTGTCGGTGGAAGTTCTTCATTCGTAAGGTTCGATTACGCCTTTCATACATGCAAAGCCGACTCTAATAGCGGATCAACAGTCCGGCTGTGAAAAAGAGTGTACAGGTGTTTATGCATGCTGGCAAAAACCAGCAATTATGCTCGCTACAAATACAGCAAGATCGAGCGCTATCAAAGCAAGGACGCCGAAGCAATCAATATGCGTTCGCGAGGATGAAAGGAAATGTAATGTGGATCGTAATAATGCGTGATGCTGGGGTATCTCTAGTCTATACTTCTCTAACCCAAACCTGATCAAGGAGTTAGCACGTAGTCTTCAAGGAGAAAGTGAACGAAGAACTTACCTCCATCTTGGCCATATCGCTGCCTTCCTTCCTTGCAACACTCTTCGCCGTCTGGATGGCCATGTCAAGATCGTCCTGGTCGGCCATGGTGATCATGTCGCCATCGTCTTTGAACTCCACCTTGAACTTGTTTCGTACACCGAACTTTTCCCGAATCTGTTGCCAGAATTCAGTGATTAACTGATCCGAACTGATAAAGACGTAACGTGTGTCGCTAGAGTGGACCTTCACTCTGACTTTGCTGCCTGCACCGCGGTTGCTACCACCAGATCTGGCGGAGCGGGCGGGGGATCGTCTCCTAGATTTTGTGCGAGACATCATTTCAAACTCGGCGTCATCGAGATCACTGCCGTCGTAGTCGTCTTCGTCTTCTTCCTCAATGTAAGCCGGTCGCCTGCTCTGTTTTGAGCGAGCGTATGCCCCGCGACTGCCACGAGAAGGCGGGTAGGGGTCGTTGTCGTAGTAGTCGTCAATGATATCATCGTCAGACCCACGGCGACGTGGCCTGTAGTCACGGTCTCGCTGGTCTCGCTGATCCCGCTGATCCCGCTGATCGCGTTGCCCTCGGTCTCGCATTGACTCTGAACGACTTGGTGGTGGTCGTTCAGATGCGGAGCGCTGTGTTGGCTGGCGACGAGGCGGCTCGGTGTTGCTTTGCTGATCAAAGGCAGCTCGTCCAAGGTTCAGAGGCTGGGGCTTAGGGCCACCGCCTCGTACGGATTGCGCGCGGCTCATGGGAGCATCGGCGGCAGGTCTCCGCTCTCCGCCAGATCTCCTGTCGCCAGACCTCCTGTCTGCTTCCGGTGGCGGTGTGGGTGGGAACATGTTACGGTTCATTGGTGGTTCTGACTGCTGGCGTGCTCTGCTCTGAAGTTCTGGCTTGACAAGGTTGGTCGCCGCGTATGAGATCTTATCCTCAGTTCTGTCATCTTTTGCGGCCTGGCCTCCCTTCTTGATTTCGGCGCCAGCGAAGCCAGTAAAGGCATTGGCCCGGTCTGAAGCAGCAACCAGGCGGGCTTTTCCAAGATAGTCCTTTGTCTTCAAGTTCTTAACCTTGGCTTCGTTGGGACGGTAGACAATGCCGACGGGAATGGAGAAGACGGTGTAGCCTTCTGCTTCCTCCCGAATAGCCTCGTCGATCACATCATGGTCGGGTACCACCTTCTCCTTGGCTGCGAAAGACAGATCCTGTAGACCGGCGTCTCTTTGCTGGAGGTAGATGTAGCAAAGACCGCGGTTGAAGAGCACCTCGCAGGAGTATAGCTTGAACTTGAGACCCAATTGTTCGTAATCGATGTTGTTGTTTCCGCGTAGGTAGAGGAGTGTGTCGTTGAAGTTGGCGAGGGCTTCCTCGAAGTCGCCCATGAGGAAGTTTGACACACCCTGCTGGAAGTATGCCACGGCGAGGTACTGGTCCAGACGCACAGCGCGCTGGTAGCAGTCGACCTGTGTAGCCATCAGCACGTGCTCCTACTACTGGAGCCATTGCCCAACTTACCGCCTTCTCATGCTCGCCGAGTGTGGCATGGATTACGCCGCAGTTGAACAGAATCTTGGACGTATCGGAGATTGTGTCAAAGACCTTCAATGCGACGTCGAACTCATTGTTGTCGTAGCTGGCGAGGGCTGCCACCCAGGTTTCGATTTCCTACCCCACCTATTAGCAATTGAACTCGGAAGGAGCGGCGACGCGCGGGAGGAAGGAGCGCACCTGCTTCAGAGACATGACGAGTGATCTTCACTTGTTACCCGGCAGTATGGTGTCGTCAAGCCTCAAGGTAGTGCCTCTCCGAGCACTCGACCGTTGGACGAGGGGTCGTGTTCCTTCTCACGCGCAAACTTCCGGATGTGCTCGTCTCAATTCCACCAGATTACAGAGTAGCCGCCGGGGCTTGTGGTATGCGCGACGTGGTGAATTAGTGTCCGGTAGGTGGTGTGTCGCTATTAAGGTGTCGAGGTACACCAAGATGCGGTGGGTTGCGCGGGGGAGTTAACGATCGTACAGGTGTGGGAATTAAGGCACAGTTGGGAAACCGGGAGAGAGAGGAGGAGGTTTCGAGGGCAATGCTCGGAAGAGACAGGGACACGGTGGGAATTTGGCGGGCGGTTGCAGGAGGGCTACCGGTGGGGAGACCAATTCTGAGGTCCAGCGCGTTTGAGAGACAAGCCTTGGCCGACACGGTACCCGGCACCGTGATTGGATCCCTGCACCGTGAAGCCCGAGAGCCACAGCGCTACGCGCCTGTCCAAGACGCCTCAACCCGGCCGACTCGAGCATGACACCACCGTCCTGCGATGCTCCGAGAGCCTAGCGATTCTCCCAAGCGCCTCCGTAGTCCTCATCGCCTCGCTTCGTGAGGCTCACTGCCAGCAACCCACCGCGGCGCACATCGGACTGCTGGGCCCTTGCGATCATCGAGTGATGGCGTTTGAGGTCTGTAACGTGCAAATCCTCCGACTGAGACAGCCACGTGACGCAGCCTCTGCGCAGCCACTCATCCTGCCGCCTGGCGTTTTCAGGCATGAACGCATGACGATTCCAGGCCTCGCAAAGTCCGTGTTCGCGCAGTCTTAGTTTCGGCCTAGATTTCAAGGTGCAAGCCTTATCTCTCGTCACCAAACCAACACGGCATTTCGACGGCACTTTATTACTTGGTCTATCTTGGTGTCTCTTGAACTCATAGCATACCGCGATCGCGCTGTTCTTCCCTCTCCTGCCAGACCGTCTTGCCAGAACATGAACACACCGTCTTGTCGTCTGTATAACCGTTAGCACATACGCACGCGAAGAGTACCACACGCCATGCGCAGAACACGTGGGGTACCAAGAGCACTCACTGTCCCAAACACCAGCGCTACGTGCGATGACACCCACTAGCGTATCCGGATCGTTCTTGTCAAACTGTGCAAGGTCAGAGTAGATCTCAGATCAACTAGCGGTTTCGCATACCTTGCCGTCTTGCTCTCGCGCAACCACGATGCTACGTCCGATCATCTCCCAGATGTGGATGGGCTTGTCCAGGAACACAGATCCGACTCCACCCTTTCCTACCTGAACGGTTCCAAAGATGCCCCGACACGGCTTGTCTTCCTTTTTGGCCTTGACATACTCCCAGATGGCGCCGGTAGATTCTGGTCCGTCGGATATGTCGCCAGATTCGCGAACTGTAGCCTGGTACGTTCCAGGCGACAATCCCCTTATGCTCAGATCGATGATAGTCATACTCGGAGCTACTTCAACCATGCGTACTAACCCTCGAACTTTGTTCTCTACATTAGGTGCGTGCGATTCTAAGATGCATACTGCGGCGCCTGTTCGGACGTTAGAATCGAGGACATGCCGGCTCTTCAAGATGGAGCATACTGTCTGATCTTCCAGATCCTCTTAGAATTGCATCACGGCCAGTTGCTTGAATAGCTTCAACAATGGCCGAGGGCGCTGCTGTACCCTCGACAGATACCAGCTGATCTTTAAGGTTGGCAGTGATTTTGTTGACACCTACATGCTGTTAGAAGCCGGATGACGTGCGCCGGGATCACGTACCACTCAATTGCTGGAGGGAGCCTTCGATGTCGTTGATGCACGACTGGCAGGTCATAGGCACCGCGAAGATGGTTTCAAACGATGGAACAGTCATGTTGAAAATTGTGAATTTGAGTGTAATGTTGTTTGAAACTCTGTGCTATTGGTAGAATGGTCAAGTTGTGAGCATGCCACTTCGGCCTTTGGGACGCTTTGAAATCGAGGCCCCACCTAACCATGGTGTGGCGCAGGGCGGCGGGCGCCCGTCCCCGGGCCATATTTTATCGCCAATCCACGCTGGATCCCAGGCTTGGCATCAACTTCCATTCACGCCGACAAGCCAACGCCGCTCGTAGCTTCGCCAGCATCTCTCGAGGGAGAACCCCCGACTCCAGATCAATTTCGACGTCCGACTACAGTTGGCCTACTAGGCCATTGACTTCACAGCCGCCATGTCGCAAGTCATAGGAAAGGTGTGTATTCTGTCGGACCTCCGCATCTCAGAACTCCATGATCGCAGCCAAGGTTACCATCGCCAGACGTGCTATTTCTGGGGCTAATATGTTATATAGACGCGTCTGGCCTACGCCCGCTCATGGCACCATCTCGACATCGGCTCCGACCCACGCGCGCTCGGCCGCGTCGCCTCCGCTATAGCCCTGACCCTCATGGGAAAACACAAGCCCATCTTCGACCCTTCGACTGACTGCGGTGACTACGTTGTAGCCACGAACTGCTCACAATTGCACACCACCGGCAAGAAGCGCTTCCAGAAACTCTACCGCACACACACGACTCGTCCGGGCTCCCTCAAAGAACTCTCCATGGACAGGATGATCGCCAAGTGGGGAGGGGGAGAGGTTTTGAGGAAGGCGGTCAGCGGCATGTTGCCCAAGAACAGGTTACGGAAGGACAGGCTGGCGAGGTTGAAGACGTTCGAGGGGAGAGCGCACCCTTACAAGGAGAATATCCTAAAGGTTGGAAACGGCGGTGGACAGAGTATAGTGGAGCACGATGAGGTCAAGAAGACGTTTGCAGAGGTCAAGGCACAGAATGCGGAGGCACCAGTATCATGACGAGGGGTGGTCAAAGAGGGCAAGAGAAGATATACCATAGCATCAGGGTGCGTGTATAAGACATGTAAATCTATATAATTGCACTTGAGCCAAGTTTCATATTCTACGGCCACATGGACTTGGTATTGGGTTTGACACCGTCTCGATAAGTTCAGGCGATCTCGGGTTTGTCACATCATATGCGGTGAAAGTGAGTAAAGCGGTTGCATTCGCTCTACTCGTAAGATGATATACTACTCTCGCTCGTCCCCAACGAACAAAAAGAAATGGTGGTATAATGTTCTACTCTCCTTTGACAATCTCTCCAGAACTCGCTCGATGACCCAAAGAAATGTACAAGAAACCAATGTGCGACGGCATGATGCTACTGCATCTATAACTTCGACTTGGTACCCTTGCGAGTAACAGTGCAGAAAATCAGACCGTTGGGGTCAGATTGAGGAGCAAAGACAGTGGCATCTTTGCCTGTGTTCTTGATGCCCTTGTGCCACGAGAGATCTAGGACCATGTTAGCGAATGAATGCAAGAGGAGACAATTGGTCCCACGTACCGACTTCAAAGTAGTGCTTGTTGGGCAGTGCATAGTCCACAGCATCCACCTGAGGAACAGCGGCCAAGATCAGGTCGCACATCTTGTACATAGTTGCTTGCACACTGGCGCTATCATCCTCGGCGAAGACCTTCATGGTGATATCCCTTGCCGCGGTCCAGGCACTGTTGAAATCTACGGCCTTGGCCTCATCCAAGTTCTTGAACAGCTTCCATTGCCAGCCAGCTTCGACCTCTGTACTCAAAATGCGGTCCCATGTCTCGGGCAGACGCGTGTATTCGTCACGGTGGAAGCCATGGAATGCTGACCCTGTGCTTTTCAGAACAAGGAGCTTCTCAATCTTGGAGCGGATAGAGACACCCTCGTTCTCGCGTGTCACGGATTCGACCACACGAGTCTCTTCACCGTCGCGGAAGAACGAGTGTGGGTGTGCTTTTCCGTCGATAGTCATGCGCGTCCATCGGTGCTGGATGATCTTGACGTGCGCGGCGTGAATGTGAGGGTATGTCTTGACGAAGTGGTCGCCAATGATGGCAGCGAATTGCTCGGGCGGATCGATAGGGTTTTGTTTTGCGAGTATGTAGGTTGTTTGCTTCTGCGTGTCGGTCGCGACTATGACAGAGTTGTCTGCTTTGGTGTAGCTGGAGGTCGTTAACACAGGGTATGCTAGAGTCTTGATGGAGAAGCGTACGAAGTCTCAATGTCTCCCTCGAGTAGGACGCAGACTGTTTGCTCAACGACGGTGTGGATACCAGTATTGGGGTCCTTGTCGACCTTGTAGAGACGGACGTTGTCCTTGCCGTAGCGCGCGTGACTGAGCTGAGACATTGCGAGCGAAGCTGTGCAGATTAGGATGATAGCCTGGAATACTTCAGATAAGGGCGCGAGGTGTATGTAATGAGGCGAGGGTCAGTTGGAAGCTGAAGGTGAGTGGATTGAGTTATCAAGAAGGGCGATCAAGCTAGATATACTTATGAAACGGCACCTTATCTGATGGACGGAACACGGAGGATACCGAACTGTATAGGAGCAGTTTGCGATTGAGGCACGAGCAAGCTATGGAGCGTCGGCAAAGAGGCGGCCAGAACGCGTTTCCATTCGTTGAGATGGCCATCGGCGAGCTCCGATCGAGGGAAGAGGCCCTGGATAGCGGCGCAAGGCGCGCACGTGACGGCATTAGAACCGCTCCTCACCCGGAGATGCACCAGGCGCCATGGGACTATGGGGCTTGAATTGTCGGCACATGGAATTCTGCGGCATGTCAGGCCATGATGGTGAGGTGCAGGGCGGTGGATCTGATAGACGCGAGCTCAGCGTTGCAAGGGTAGGTAGGTAGG